GAATCCCAAGATATCTAAAATCCGCAGTTACAGTTGCTTTTATTTTGAATTATGAAAAAAAAAAAATTTGCCGATTGCAGCCATTTCCACGTTTGGGCAAGAATGCAACAGTACTTTACTTGCTAACCAAGCTATTTTACGTGATGAATATCGTTGCTCAATTCTTCCTCTTGAATCATTTCCTCGAAGAAAACTTCTTGCTCTGGGGATTCCAGGTAGCGCTTCGCTTCAGAACATTTACTTTATTTGTGTAAAAGCTCGCTGACGAACGTGATGTAGTGATTCGGAAGTTACTGTAGTGCGGAGGATGGGCAATTCGAAATCTCGACTGGGGCAAACAGTCCCCACTACGATTCGTTCACTGATTTTAGTGGTAAATTAGTAACAGCATCTGCTAAGGAGTCAGATTCCCCTATCAGCATGCTTTTAAGTAATCCTTGAAAAAGGAAGCCATCCACAGCCTTGCCTGCGAGTGGTTGTTGTTGGCATTTTCTACCGCTCAGGTTGCTCCCGAGTGTCTTTTCATTCATAGGAAGCGAGCGGCTTTTGCTTTTGAGTTCATTTCGATGCTTGCTTTTATCATATTCCAGCAGCAATCTGAACTCTGTGCATGTATAATATTAGTAACAATCCAGCACTTGGTGTTAGATGTAGAAACGATCATCTGCGGTAGGGTTAACATGGTGTATTAACAAAATTTTCCACAAGCGCGACTATTAGAACCTATCTTGGAGCTGTGTTTAGTGACTAGCCTCTGTTGTTTGAAATTTTTTGGCCGTAAATGCGTAAATCATCTTTAGCAGAGAAGGTACCTCTAGCAGAGAATGTGTCCTACCAGGTGAGTTTTCAGAGGTGCCTTGTGTAACGTTTTCTGACTAAATTCACTATACTATAAAATGTATTATAACTTATAGCTTACAACCCTTACAAACTCCTTGCGCACAGTCAACGAACATGAGCTAGAAGAATAAGATGTGAGAGAAAAGAATCCATCAAACATGAAGCGTCATCGTTTCTCAAACGCGTCCAAAATTTTTCCTTTTTTTTTTTTTGACTGGCGCAAAAGTGTTTGCTCGTGTAGCAGGTATTATTATTGCGAGGCTCTGTCCATTAGAGGACCGACATTATTGAACGTTAAATGATTTGCGGGAGTTTTTTTCATCTGGAAAAACAAACTTGTAGGTACTGGGAGATGTGATATCTCGCAGGGAGTGGCAAGAATCATCTGTTTTTCCACGTGTAATCATGTGCGACTTCGAGGTCAGTTGCTTTTGTAATTTTCGCCACAAGATTTTTATTCCTCTTTTACAGGAATTAAGTAAGTGGTCACTCCTGAAAACCGTCACGATCATATGTTTCCATCTCACTCATTAGCGAACTTCCGTAGCTTTTTTATCAGGACCATCGTCCGAAACATATTCTGATTGTCTCTGTATGTGAACCGCATCAGACAGCGTATGTATATGAGGAGAGTGAGATTTGGCTGCGTTCACTTCAGGTGCGACGCCTGGCTAACATCCATCGACACTCGGTGCAGTGTGTTATCATGCTGAATATGATCAATGAAAAGTTCTATTTCTTCCTCTGGTTCTGGTTCCTTATCGTTGGCTTCTGTACGATCGTTAATTTTTTCTATCATCTGATTGTGATGACTGTGCCACGAGCACGCATGCGGCTTGTTCTTTGGAATATTCGCAAAATAGAATGGGAGGTTAGTGCATTTCATTTCTGAGCTGCATTGAGCTTGCTTTATGATGCTCATTATTTTTATTATTATCGCTGTTTGTTATTATTATTATTATTATTATTGTCACTATTGTCACCACTATTATTTTTGTTATGCGTTTTTGTTGTGCAGCGCTATAGCTGCTACAGTCAGCAAAAACGAGTATTGTCAAGAGGCTGTGTGTGTGTGTTTAGAAGCGAGCGCATTTTGTCACCCACTTTCATATCAGCAACCACGAAAGCTTGGAGGCTGGAACTTTGGGTATATGTTGCTACCCCGTGTGTCATCCTCCCGCTTCGAGTTGTTCCCCAAACGCAACTAAACCCCGCGTACGGGCCCCCCCCCCCAAAAAAAAAAAATGTTTGCAGGAAACGGTTTCGCGAGCCAGGCAAGGTAGGAAGCTGAAACGTCGCAGAGATATTGTCTGTGCACGTGCGAGCTAAAGATTTTAAACTCAGTTGTCGAGCACCCCAGTCACAGCCTCAAGCAGCTCCTGAACCCAAAAATCGTCAAGAAATCCATAGCAACCCGAACCCCAATCGTATATGTAAATTTAAATTAGTTAATGTGCATACATGGATTTTTGGACAAACGACCGCTCGAGCAGTACTTCTACTTAATGAACTGGAAATTTGCATTTGTCATTTTTCCTCAAAGCGAGCTTTTACCAAAAAAACGACCGGACGTCATGCAAAAAACCGGTAATCATGCACCTGGATGTCCTTGCGGCTCTATACTGCACCACCTTCATCCCAACTGAGGCCCTTTCTCCTGCGTGCCGGAAAAGATAAAAGTACGGCCAGTATGAGCCCAAGTGTTAGGCTATAGCGTAGAGGTCATTCCTGCTAACAGCGATCTGCGAGTTTAGTGCAGAAACGCATGACCGCATCGGAGAGCCTGGTGCGTTTCAGCCTGGGTTACTATTATTACTCGATTTTGCGTCTGTGCAAATGAAAAGGCACAAGAGCAAGACA